GCGGTTCAACTACTATTCTTCAGTAGATGAAATGAAATAAGGAAAGGAAGCAAGAAACCATTTCAAAATGGAGGAAAAGGTAAGGGAATTTTCAGACTCAAAAGTAACTCAACTTAGGAAGTATGTATTTTCTATGTTGTCTATTTTTTTGGTCTATTATTAAAGTTGAATGTGGTACTTTACATAGGTAAAACATTCCTCAGTTCTAGCTTTAAAATTAACTCTACAGCTGAAATAAATTAAATCAGCATTCTATCAAAGAAGGTATGAAAGCTTGGTCATTTAACCAGGTTGAGGGCAGAAATTAACCCTATCATAATCTAATAAATGTACTTAGTTGAATACTGGGTTTCCAAAAATTATTTTATCAATTTAAACAGTTTGAGTGTCATAATATTATGTACTGAGTGTACTATGTGCCATTCCTGAGATAGGAACTGAAATAATGAAGACTCTAATGAAGTCTTTCCACAAGTAGCTTAAGTCTACTTTATAAAGTCAAATGTTAATTTAAGAATGTTGCAAAAAGTTAAAATTTTACGGTTTCTGGTTTTCTAATTACTCGCCATTCCGCACAAATAAGACAGACCTTCATACTCCTGTGTCTCAAATCACATTGTTCCAGTTCCCCAGAATATCTCCTTTTCCAACCCTTCCTCCTGTTTAAAGACACTCAAGTGGAAGTCCTCTGCTCCAAAAGCAGAATTTATCATTTCATTATACGTGCTCCTATAGCCCCAAATGGACATGCAGCATTTCACATACAAAAACATATTTAGCTTTAAATATGCTTATATATATCTCTATACAGTCAGCATCTAGCATAATAACTGCAATACAAAGTTACCTGATAAGTGTTTAACAAATTCTAGGATTTGTATCATATGATCACAGCTAGTTAAATGTCAGGATCAATTTACATTATAACAAGGTAAGATACACACTGATAGTATGTGCCTTCCCTCACTGTCTATGTTACTTTAAATACATACACAACCAATAAATGCAAAAAAATAGTTTGGAAATAGTTTCAGTTTTCACTTACTGAAAAACGCCAGCATGAAAATCCCATCATTACCCACTCTGAGCTGGTCTGCATCGCTGAAGTCATCTCTTGTTGGACACTCTTCCTCTTGAATCTGTAAAACATAGACTATTAGAATAGCTCACTAAACTATTGATAATTACAACTTTATTATCTTAAGTGTAAAGATAAAAATTTAAATAAAATCTAATGTCCTCAATGTATTGTATAGGCAAAATGAGACAATGAGTACAGTATCTGATACATAATAAGTACTCAAAAAACATTAGCAAGTATTAATTTTTCATGGACACCCCTGAAAAGAGTAACTTTAAAAGTAAACACAAAAAAGATAAAAATTGAATAACATCGAATTAATGAAAATGACATCACAAAAGATCGATGTGACACTGCTGCATCAGTGTCAAATGGAAAGAGGATTTTTCATAATCAGTGGTGAACTCTAAATTGGTACAAACTCTATGGTTGGCAATTTGGCAATATTTATCAAAAATTAAAACGTACACATCCTTCTACACAGTAATTCCAGCTCATGAAATATACTTATAAGAAATGATGTATTACAGATAATTCACTGCAGCAATGTTAACAAGAGCAAAAACTTAGACACAATCTAAATGCCCATCAATAGTGGGCAACTGTCAGGAGATAATTCTCTGTGAGTCTTTCATGTTTCTACATGTTTCCCAGGTAGAGGCATTGGCTACCTTTCTTCTGTATTATCTTTTCAAGGATGTTTATATAGTAGATGGCTTTGGGAGAGAGAAATAGTGTCTCTCTCCAGAGCAGAGATGTAGGCATGCTTATTGGCCATTAGAAAATATTGGGTTCCCCTGAACTCAGGGTTCCACACTGCGAGCAGAGGCATCGCTTGGCCCTCTCTGAGTTGCCCTGCAGGACCTGAGGCTCAGGAAACTGCCATGAGAAAATGCTAATACCCTAGCTACTACTACTGCTGTGAATAATAAAGTTTAATAATAAAGAATAATAAAGTTTCTGTCTCTGACCCAGCAGTCCTGTGTCTTCTGTGAGCATCCACAAAACTGTGACAAGCTAATCAGTTAGCTTGCAAGTAGGCTAAAATCTCAGACCGTTTATAATTCTTGAGATCAATGAAATAAATTATTGTATATCTAAAACAATGAAATTCAAAAAGCAATGTAAAGATTTAAAAATAAATTACAATCTCCAAAATATATTAAGTGAAAATCATTTATATAGTACAATACTTTTGTGTACAAAAATAATATACAAACACATTACTTCTCTGGAAGCACGTACAAAGTCTATTATCACTAATTGCCTCCAATATTCAACAAATATTGATAGAATACCCATTCTACATAAGACTTTGCTTCCTGGTACTTGGGATATATGAATGTACGTAAAACAAAGATGTCTGCCTTTCTGAAGCCTATATCCCAGTGAGGGGAGCCGGACAATAAATAAAGACATAATAAATAAGTTGCTTATACAAAAGGTATATAAATGCTCTGCAAAAAAAAAAAGTGAGGAAAGGATGTTTAGGAAAAAAAATGTAAGGAAAGGATGTTTAGAATGTTTAGTAAGGGCTACAGTTTTCAATATGGTGGTCGCATAAGCCTCATTAAGGTGACACTGAGCAAAGAATTAAAGGAGAGGTAAGAGAGTCAGCCATGCAGATATCTCATAGAGGAGTGTTTTAGGCAGAGGGATAAGCCAGTGCCAAGTTCCTAAGAGAGAACCAGACCTAGCATGTTACAGAAATAATAAGGAGGCTAACATGGTTGAAACCACAGTGAATAAGAGGGAAAACAGGAAGAAATAAAGCCAGAGTCCACTAAAGGACCCTGGATTTTACTGAGTGAACTGGGAGGTCTTACAGAGTTTTGATCAAATGATTGACATGACCTGATTTACAAACTCACTATCTCCACGTTACATATACATAACCTCAGTTGGGTGTTAATTTTCAATTTTGTGTTAGTACACACAGAGGCTCAGAGAAGCTCAGTGCCTTGCCCAAAATCACATAATTAGTTAGGTCAAGGCAGGACTTAAATCCAGGATACCAATGTTCTTTCCATGCAATCATGGTAGTCTCACTACATATACTGCTTTTCTGAAAGAAAAAGACTTTCAGGGACTTCCCTGGTGGCGCAGTGGTTAAGAATCCCCCTGCCAATGCAGGGGACACGGGTTCGAGCCCTGGTCTGGGAAGATCCCACATGCCACGGAGCAACTAAGCCCGTGCACCACAACTACTGAAGCCCCCCGCGCGCCTAGAACCTGTGCTCCGCAGCAAGAGAAGCCATCGCATTGAGAAGCCCGCATACCCCAACGAAGAGCAGCCCCTGCTCGCTGCAACTAGAGAAAGCCCGCATGCAGTGATGAAGACCCAACGCAGGCAAAAATAAATAAATAATTATATTTTTTTTAAAAAAAAAAAAAAAGACTTTCAAAACCATATTGCTCATTATTTAGGCAAAAAGATCCCTTCAACTCTGCAATCATATATCCTATGGTCTTATGGACAATTTAATAACTGGCAATGATTAAATACATATTAATGAATTTTTATATCATTTCAAGCTAATTCAAGAAGTAAACATTAAAGCACAGTAGAAGGCCAAAAAAACACTGTCAATATGATGGCAAGAATATAAAATTTCACTCTTTTTGAAACACCAGTCCAAGAGATTTTATCATAGGACATCATTTTTTTTTCTTTTTTTTAAATTTATTTATTTCTATTTTTATTTTTGGCTGTGTGGGTCTTTGTTGCTGTGTGCGGACTTTTCTCTAGTTGCGGCGAGCAGGGCTACTCTTCGTTGCGGTGCGTGGGCTTATCATTGGGTGGCTTCTCTTGTTGCAGACCACAGGCTCTAGGTGCACAGGCTTCAGTAGTTGTGGCACTCGGGCTCAGTAGTTGTGGCTTGTGGGCTCTAGAGAGCAGGCTCAGTAGTTGTGGTGCACAGGCTTAGTTGCTCCACAGCATGTGGGATCTTCCTGGACCAGAGCTCAAACCCATGTCTGCTGCATTGGCAGGCGGACTCCCAACCACTGCGCCACCAGGGAAGCCCAGGACATCATTTTTAAATAGATAGAAGACATATGCACAAAGATGTCCTTTACAACATTAACACTGGAAAACACAAACAGTCTTGAAAAGAATCTAATTGTTCACTAGAGAGGAATGGCCACTATATTATAGTATATTGATTCCATGGAATTTCACTCACCATTAACATAACAGAAAAATATTTACATAAAATGCTTAAAAAATAAAAGATAGTAGCTATGCAAGAATTTCAATTACATTAAACATTGACTTATAAACCCTAAAATTGGTAAAAAAAAAAAAAAAAATTAAAACAAAGAGCTGTAATAGGACAACAGTCGTATTTTTCTTTCTAATTTCCCACAGTGGCTAATTTAAAGAAAGCATTCATTAACTTAATTAACTGTTATTTATTAAACACCAAGGATGTGCCAGATAATAGCAAGGTGCTAGAAATGTAAACACAAGGTCATCTTGGAGCTGTTCACAATTTATCAAGTGCTAGCTTTTACATCAAAAGACAAGTTACTGACACACAATTTTAAACAAGGTACAAAAAAATGAACCCTATCCACTATATATAGTCATAATATGAGACTAAGTGACAAGCCATGTTCTAAAAGTTTTATAAAGTGAATCATGTGAAACAAATATTTTTCAGAGAAATATTAAAAATGGGCAATACACTTCAGTAGATCAATGAGTCATCACATAATCATACCTGCAACCCCACTCGTGAGAAATACGAAATAGTAGAAAACAGTATTGTTTCCACGTCTCCAGGCTACCTACATTCCTCCAATGAGACTGGATTTAAGAAATAAACTTTCAGCTCATCCAGCTGAGATTCATTTACAACTGACTGTACTCAAGTGCTAATCAGACCAGTTTTTTATCTGAATCAGGTATAGGAATTCATACTGAATGACACTTTGCAGAAAGAGGGTGCTGGAGCACTGGGATAGAAACTGACGAATTCGAAAGATTTTTTTTACAAGGACCTAAGTTATAAGTTAGTCTCTTCATACAACTCTGTTTTTGCTTTCCATAAAATTTTCCACAATTCTCACAAGCTAGAGTTACAATGGTATCAGAAATGGGTAAACACAGAAAACTTTTCTTTATGGACATATTCCAGCTCAGGCTGGGAATCACATTACAAAAACAAGACACTGGAAATGATGAAGGGTTTTTAATAGTAACACTTCAGAGTTTTCTTTCCAAAAGGTAAAATCACCTTTATGCTTACCTCAAAGCACAGAGAACAAGACTTAATGCTTCCTACTTTCTCTTTAGAGTTCTATCCAACTGTGTAGAAGTTAGGGCAATAGAGGACCCAAGTTCCTAAACATCCTTTAAGGACCTTTACCATTTCCAAAATCCCTAGGAAAACAATCCCTGAGAAAAGGAGTTACAGTCCTACTTCACTGAGAGTGTGTGCATGTAAATATAATGCATGTACAAACACACATGCACTAATAAAAACTCCACACCTTAGTAGATCTATCCTCCTCCATAGTTCTCCCCTCCCAACATCAAAAATCCTTATTGAATGAGCTATACTTATGCCACGGTCTTAACAGAAACTTACTTCCCCCTCAGAAGGAAAAGAAATCAATAATAGGGGCTTCCCTGGTGCAGGGGTGCAGTGGTAGAGAATCCGCCTGCCAATGGAGGAGACACGGGTTCGAGCCCTGGTCCGGGAAGATCCCACATGCCGCGAAGCAACTAAGCCTGTGTGCCACAACTACTGAGCCTGAGCTCTAGAGCCCGCGAGCCACAACTACTGAGCCCATGTGCCACAACTACTGAAATCCACACGTCTAGAACCCATGCTCCGCAACAAGAGAAGCCGGCGCACTGCACTGAAGAGGGGCCCCCACTCACCACAACTAGGGAGAAGCCCACATGCAACAACAAAGACCCAACACAGCCAAAAATAAAACAATTAATTAATTAATTTTTTAAAAATCAATAATAAATTTGAGGTTTACTACCTTTACTTATGTGCTCAAAACTATTTATGATGACGTTTAACTGTGTGTGTTGGAGGATGCAAGTGGGAGCAGGTCTGAAGAGTGTTGTGGCTGATGAAAGAAACCTGTCCAGGAAAAACGCTTACCCATCAAATAATCTACACGCTGGGCTCTGGCCTGATGGCAGCAGGACAAGAATGCTATACATACAGGCACCTTCTTCTCCCTTTTCCCCTTACCTAGCTTTCCTGTGTCACGTGATATTTCTGTGTCTTTTTCCTGAACAAAATGGGGTTAACCCAGAATCTGACATCTCTAAAGACTAAAGCAAGAAATAAAGGTAACAAACTCTAGTCCTGCTTGCAGTCACATTAAAATGTAAATAATTTCTACCTTTTACCTGACTGAAGAATAGCATACATACATCTCATTGATTCTCCATTACTGAGACAGCCACTCCTTTTACCAGAACAGGAAATAACATACATAGTGTATCACTGACTCTATTACTAAGACAGGGAGATGAGGGAGAAAAAAGGGCGGTGGAATCTTTGACCATCATTCCCAAATTCTAGGGTGGCATGTGTTCAAAGGACAAAAAAAAAAAAATAGTGAATTGACAAACATAATTTTGTAGGCCTGGTAACTTCCTTCTTTGTGTCTTTAAGCTACCTTGAGTTCATTCATAGAGTCACGAAACTGGCTACGCTAATATGTAAGAAATGAATAGAAAAAAATGATCTATAATTATAGTTATGGACCACAGAATCTAAACTATATAAGAAGGGAAATAAGGACATTGAAGACACTTCATTGACAGTGAAGAGGTCAACGGGGTGGGGGTAACTTGAATGAGGGAGTCAGAAGTATGAGGGGTGAAGGTTAGTACATGAGATGCCTGAAATCAAGACTTAGGAAATGATAAATCATTGGTAAAGATTCCACCTAGGATGACCAGGGTGGGTGCAGGAGAAGACCAGTAGAAATCGAAATCGTATGAGAAGGTCAAGGAATGCAGAAGGTAAATTTAAATAGGAGAGTGCCAAAAAATGGTGACACAAATAAGTAGTAGTAAATACTAAAAAAACTACAAGCACAAAGAACTATTTTTGATATTACTGAATATACGTATCAATTAACACAAATAATATTCTCAAAAGGAAATGATAACATTGTCTTACTCTTTGAGATGTTTCTGCTGCTGCAGCTGCCATTGCAGCAGCTTTGGCCTTCTCAGCTTCATCATACGTAGGAAGAGAGGTAGCAACACTGTAAGGAGGTGGCACAGGATAAAACTCACTGTAAACTTCTGTATCTGAAGAAAAGGATTTTTAAAAAAGATAACCATTAAAACAAACTAATATTATGTTTATAGCCAGAACATAATTTAATGTTACAGAACGCCACTAAAGACTATCACTGCTATTTGTAGTCCTATGTTATAAGCTATATAACATATAAATTACTACTACATCGTATATATTATTTTAGTCCTACATTTATTATCAAGAGAAAGAACTGATAAATATCATCTAACGGCTGATATACCAAACAAGAACATCAAGAATGAGACTCTGAAAATGTGGGCAACACAAAGGAGGTAAACTCACCTCACCATATATGAGCATCCTCTATGTTCCTACTGCTATGCTCAAAGACTTTATTTGCCCACAATCTCACAGCCAAAAAGTAAAAATATCAGGAATAATGGTAACAAACACTGAAACAGCACTAGCCATTTACTATAACACTGCTAAATACATGAACCTTAGCAACTCTGAGGTTCAGTTAAGTGATTTGCCCAGTATCACACAATCAAGAAGTGGCAGAAGCCAGGGATTTCCTGACTCCAAATACTTTATTATTTATTTATTCTCATATTTACTTGATAATATATAAGATGTTAATTTTTCTACACAGGCCAATTTTAACAACTCCTAAGAAAACTCAGTATTTCTCTTTGCTAAAAGATTGATGATTTTTAACTCTTTTTTTACTCTTGTCCCTTCCCCCATTTTCCCCCCATCTACCCAGTTCTTCAGGTTTTCTTTTTTAGAAGAATTTCTCCCTCCCCAATTTTTAAGCTATTTTTGAAATATGATTTCCAGAAGTATATTGCAATATTAAATATAGACTGCTAATTTTTTTTAAAATGCATCATTTATTGCCAACTTTGGTATAAGTAAAATCATACACACACAGGTCAATCAATTGATTAGACTTATGCTAGAATCACTGACATAAAAAACAGGCAGATTCTAAAAACAGTATATACCACAATGTTTGACATCACCTCTGTGATTTCCTCTATCATAACTACAGCATTTTTACGTCTTCCACATTGGTTACAATTTTACCTATCTTTATCAGATTTTCTTGCACATGAAAAAACACTGCACTCCAGCAATATTTTTCCTGTTGTGTTTTAATGTATATAGGTTTTAAAATAAGTATTTGTAATGCTATCAATGAGAGCTAAGGATCTGAAGTTAGGCAATTTTCAATCTAATAACAGGAAGTGGTTAGTGGGAGTATAATGCTGAATGTTATCCATCAAAAGTCACAAGAGTCATAAATTCTTAGAAAAGACTTATTATTAGGATGTAAAAACACCATACACCGTCAAGTAAATAGATTTCTTTAATTCTGAAGACGAGATTAGAAGCAAAATTTAAGTAAAAACCATGATTATGAATTTAAGGAATAACATTAAAACTATACATTTTTAAAACTGGAACAATGGTATATATTATCCAAGGAGATGAGATCCTTACGTTAAAAACAGATATGTACGTTTCTGAAAAGTTTTAAGACCCAAGATAGAAAAAATATCTCCACCAATAACAGGTGCAAGTTGGGAAGGAGCACCTTTAATTTTCTCTTGTTAATTTTACTTACTTTTCTTCTACCCTTTGAGGCAGTGGTTGGTTCTCAACCACAGAATTTAAAGTCTGGGGAGCTCCAATCCCAGCTCCTCTTCTTAGAAGTTATGTGACCTCAAGCAAATCACTTAAGCACTGTGAAGTTCCACTTTCTCATCCATAAAACTGACCCAGCAAGGCTATTACTTGCTATTATGGGACAAAATAGAAGAGTATTCAAGAGGACTCTGTAAACTGTGCAACACTATGCAAATGTCACCTTTTATAACTGACGTTGCTCAGATCTATAAAAGCAGCCATAAGGTGACCTACTGAAGAACATAATCTCCACAGAAAATGGGCACTGCCCATATGCCTAAAATATAACAACACTAAGAAGCTGAAGAAAAATAATATCAACAGTTTTCATTAAACAGAAACCCAAAATTCTAGAATTCCTCAGTTCTCGTGCTCAATTATAGTCAGGAATGGCCTTTTAGCACAGGTGAAAAAATTAAAAAGACCAGAAATCACAGAGGAGACTGTGAGAATAACTGAACTTCTAGGTACCAGGCTCCACTTGTTTCACAGTTGAAATTTATCTAACCTTTAAAAATGTCATGCTACATTATCAAAACTTTTCCAGATCATAGAAAAATGAGAAGCTTCTCAATTCACTTTATGTTGCTTCCATAATATTAATACCCAAACCAAAAAGACAGCACATAAAGTTATAGATCACACTAATAAAGCCACAAAAACTCTAAATAAAATATTAACAAATTTAAATCCAGGAAAGATTAGAACATGATGACAAAAAGAATTTATTCTAAGAATATAGGGATGGATTAGCTTAAAGAAGAAATCTGTTAGTAATACATTTCATTACAACAAAAACTGAAGGAGAAAAGCCATGTAATTTTACAATAAGGTACCAAAAAGATGACTCCCAGGTTTCTGGCCTGCTGGAGCCATTTATTGAAATGGGGAAGACTGTCAAAGGAGAAGCTCTAGAGGGTGGTAGAGGGAGGAGCCTGTATACAGTTGTGGTGGTGAGACTCTTTGAAACTCTTCCCATGAAGAGGTGGAGACTAATTCCTCAATAATCTTGAATAGAGCCTAAGTGACTCACTTCTAAGAGCCTGAATGTGGCAGATGTGACACTGTGACTTTTAAGGCAACGTCACAGATTCCATTTGGCTTTCTCTCAGAATGCTTGTTCTTAGAAGCCAGCCTCCATCCAGTGAAGAGCCCAGGCCACAAGAAGAGGCCACATATAGTTGTTCTGGCCAACAGCCTCAGCTGAGGCCCTAGCATCAGCCAGCAAACGTGTGAATAAGGAAGCCCGCAATTACCTCCAGTCCCAGAGTCACCATCAGACAACAATCACATGAGACTCTAGCAGAGAACTTCATAAAGAAGCCCAGTTCCCCGCAAACCATGAGAATTAACAAGCATAAATGATTGTTATTTTACTCCATTAGGTTTGAGGTAGTCTGTTAAACAGCAATAGCAACAGTAGCCACAACAAAGGGATTGCAATTTCACTCTCAGCATCTTCCATCATAGAATGATTAACTTAGCATTACTGGGAAAATACAAATTGTGACCAGAGAAATAGATGAGGGTAGTTCTTGAGAATGACCTGCAAGGATGAGATGAACAGTAGCAAGCAGTAATCACTGCCTTGTATCCAGGAAATATTACCATGAGTAGGGGGGACATTATGTGTACAATTCACCTCCATTCACATGTACTTACCACATTCTCATATTCATCATTAATAATACCTTGTTTATGACTATATAAGTAAACACACACACACGGGTATATTTATATATTCATGTGTGTATGCATTATATGCGTGCATGAATATATATGTATATATGGTTATTTCTTCTAAAAGTTATATGGCTAATCCACTGGGAAGGGATTCTAGTAAGCATAAGGAAGTTTAACAAGCTACACATTTAAATTAATTTTTAAAACAATGAGACAGGTAACCTATGAAATATTTTATAAACTATCTTTAGAAAAACCTTTTTTAAAATAATCATAAAACCGAAGAAGCCCATTAACAGACTTGATAATTACACAAAACCATACTGGTAAAGACAAAACAAAAAATCGAGCTATTAAAAACATTACTAGGGCTTCCCTGGTGGCGCAGTGCTTGAGGGTCCGCCTGCCGATGCAGGGGACACGGGTTCGTGCCCTGGTCCGGGAAGATCCCACATGCCGCGGAGCGGCTGGGCCCGTGAGCCGTGGCCGCTGGGCCTGCGCGTCCGGAGCCTGTGCTCCGCAACGGGAGAGGCCGCAACAGTGAGAGGCCCGCGCACCGCAAAACAAAACAAAACAAAACAAAAAACATTACTAGTTGTTTCACACTAAAAACAACAATACCTGAAGTTGTAGGTACTTCCACAGTAATACTGCTATAAGGTGGAGGAGAAGAGTCAGTCTCAAGTCCAGACGCTGAAGGAGCAGCCTGCACATTTTGTGGTGTTGGGTTTGAAGTTGACGGCTGCTCTATAGCAGATGATTCTGAATTATCCTCTTCATTGTGAAGCTAAGAAAACAAAGGGAAATGAAAACATTAATGTGAATCAAATTTTAAAAAAAATTTTAAAGATCAATTTCAGGCAAAGAATCATTTTTTAGCTAAAAACAAGGTAAAATAGCATTTAAAAAGATGAACAAAATTTTTAAGAGACATAATCAGTCATTAAGAAGTTTAGAATTTTTATAGTTTCTTTACAATAAGGATGAAGTTCAAATTGTTAGGATTTACAGAAGAAAAAAGTCATGATTACAAATAGATTCAAGTTCTCTCAATCCTACAATAAATATTGTCTACCACACATCAATCACTGTGTACTGCAAAGAAAACTTCTAATACAACCACAATACCATATCTATTACACTAGTATCTAAAATAACTAGAAATGTAAAATGAATTAATGAAATAGAATAACAATATATATACATTCCAAAAACGTGGAATACTCTGAGGAGGTTTTCCCAAGTACCAAAAGAATTACTAATAAACCAAAATAAGTCAGTGTGCATATAAAATTCTGAAAAAGTCATTACAACAAATTTATTGAAAGTTCAATAAATGCTAGATACTATATTGAGATCTTTATCACTTAACTCATTCAATCCTCACAACAAACCTGTAAGATAGAGACTATTAGACTGTTATCCCCATTTGACAGATTAAAAGAAAAAAAGAAAAAAAAAAACCAAAACCACCCTGGACGTGTAGAGACTTAGAGTAACTTGCCAAACATCACAACAGCTAGGAAGGGTAAAGCCATGAATCACACCCAAGCAGTGTGGCTGCACACCTCTTACTTCATTTATATGGAAGGAAGGAAGGGAGGGAGGGAAAGAAATTTTGTCACAGAGCAAATTTGTGTGTTGTGATATAACGCATTTTTGGATTTCAGAAAGAATAGGCAAAATATTACTCCACTTTCTAGGAGCTTCGATAAACTTATTTTCTCTGTACCTCAGTGTCTCCATATGTAAGTTCTGAATGCAACCAAAATCCTCACAGAATTGTAAAATAATATTTGAAAATCATCTAGCATAATGCCTAACACACAGAAGGCATTTAACAAATACTAGTTCCACCCTTCTTCCCTTTTATTTAATATACTTTATTTTATAAACACAAAAGCAGAAATTATGTGGTACTCTGTCAGTCCAATAAGTAGTCACTCACTTGCCTCTAAAGAATTTTTTTAAATATGCCAAGTAAAACAGGAGGTCAATTTACTTCACTGCTGTCTGCATGTGTCTTGGTAAGCGATTACACTAGCAAAACAACTTTTGGGAGTTCATAAAGGTATTGTAACTTTTAATAAAGCAGTATAAACAAACCTAAAATCATCTCAAGTTTAAGAAGACAACTTTTTCCATAACGCTATGGACAAAAAATGTTGCCTGCCATTCCAGTAAACAATGAATGTTGCCCACCATCAAATCATCAGCCACTGCAGCCAACCCCACACAGTGCATCCTGAGGGGAACTCAGGATGGAGAAAAACAGGATACTGGCCCTAGATTGTTAAGAAGCATATCTAAAGAACAATTTCAATAAGCCCAGACTCTTGCATCTCCGCATACACAGAAAAGCCCTGAAATCATTAACTTAAGATGTCTGCTTCGTGTGATCAGCGGTAATCTTCTCATGCCCTACTACTCCCCCACCACCCCGGCAAGAACTCCAGTGCACCCTGGCTCCTCGCAGTTCTCTTTGCAACAGCACCTCAGAGCTATCTGAGAGGCTGTCTCCGGGGCTATAATCCTCAGTACGGTCCTCAAATAAAACATAACTCGCAATTTTTAGGTTATGCGTTTTTCTTCAGTCGACAGCACCAAAGTTTATACAATAACATCCACTCAGAGAAACTGAATTCTAAGGTCAAATAAGCATCAAGTCAACTCTGTATGAGCTTCTACATTTATTCACTTGCAGCACTTTTACAAGTAGGCACTAAATGAGCACCCTCTTGACTAGCAACACTCTGCCCTGGTGTCATAAAGCATCTTCTATGTTTCCCATTACAAGGCACCCAGGAGAACTCCCAATGTAGTCATCTTTGACAACACTTTTAAGAGCAAAAATGTCAGATGAACAAGTTAAGGCAAATAAAGTACAGATAAATACTTAGTATATACTTAGTAATTTAGAATATATTAGTATATTTAGTATATATAGTAGTTAATATTACTAAACAAATCACAATGAAGGTGTCAAAAAAGAGGAAGCCACTTTTCCATATCTACTATTAATACTGCAAATGTAGATGAAATGTACTAAAGAGAAAATCCTACATGACAAACAACTCTCCTCTAGTTCCTCACAAGAAACACCCCCTACCACATCAAATATACAAATATTGGTCCCCAGAATGACCAACTCTCTTCTTAAACCTGTCAAAATATATTCAAATAACTACAATAAAAAGAATAACTACATATACTTTTACATATGATCTCAGAAGTAAAGCTTTGGAACTTATAAAACACACCACTTTATTTCAACTGCCTTACCTAACACCTCCAGTTTTGTTTTTACAAAATTATAATATAGGGGATTTCCCTGGCAGTCCAGTAGTTAAGATTCCGCACTCCCAATGCCGGGGTACAGGTTCAATCCCTGATCGGGGAACTAAGATCCGGGCTGACACACAG